CAGGATATGTATTTCTACTTGTGGGAGGAGTCGTATCATAGAAAAGTACTAAGTAGAAGATTAGAGCATCCTCTACGATGGAAGTAGAATTCATAGGATGCCATGATGCCATGACACATGCAATTTGGTTGAAGAGTTTTATCACAAGACTCAGTGCCTTAGTGCTCAACTATGTGGATAAATCAATACAGTTGTCCTATGATAATTCTATGGCTGTGTTCTTTTCAAAGAACTACAAGAGTAGTAGTCAAAGTAAATATATTGACTTAAAGTACTTAGTAGTGAAGGAAAGAGTGCAAGAACGGAAAATCATCATCGAGCATATAAGAACTGAACTTATGATTGTGGATCCAATGACTAAGGGGTTGTCCCCAAATGTGTTTATTAGCCATGTTAAAAACATGGGAATTGTGAGTTCTTTTATAGACTCAACATGATGACACGTGTCAATAATTGATTCTCTCGTTCTTGTAGTCCCACAACTGTCTAATGCATGCACATTATTATATGCAGGCACAAGAACACAGCTAGGACCAATATACATATATAATCCACTACACTGAGGGTTACAAGTGTAATCGTCATGATGCATGGACGGAAACTCCGGTTTTAGGAGAGACTGCCATGATCTGAGTTTACATAAATAATTACCTAAGTGTGTTTGAGAATCACCATGAGCTCTAATCAAGTTGCGTCCTTCTATTGTTGACCACACTCGGGCCAAGTGGGAGATTGTTAGAGTGTGGGGCCCATAAATTCAAGGCCCATCATTGTGGTCATAGGGGTTCCCTACTATAACTCTCATTTTGGTTAAATCAAAACCACAAGGCCCTAAAATCTCTCACCCACTTATCATTACCCTATTTTTGAATTTAAAATTGAAATTAGGTATATGAGGATAAGTGGAGAGTGGTTGACCTAATAGGGGAGGTGATTGATTCTTATAGGCTGTTATATTAGGAGTTCTTTAGTGGGGAGAATTACCTACTAAATAAGTGAATAGGGTTCCTCATTTTAACTATCTTCTAAGAGAAAAGTACCCTCATTCGTTCTACTCTTACCCACCGAACCCTTATTGGGAAAATGAGAAAAAATAGTGAGAGAATTAGAATTAACTCTAACCTCTCTAGTCTAGTACTAGAGTATATAAAAAGCTCTCCATTGAAAAATACAAGAAACCTTTACAAAATACTGCAAACCGTCAACCCATGTTCAATAATCCATAAGGAGAAAAGTGCAGTTTAAGAATACAAACAAGAGGTTGGACTAAATGGCTGATCAACCAAACTTTAGGAACATTCTGCTTGACTTGAAATAGAAAGTAACAAGAGCAATAAGAGTTATTCATGGCAATGATTTATGCAGATATCATTTAGTTTATTTGTTTTTTTATTCTATTTTGTTGACATTCAGTCAACCAATACAAAAGTGATTGTAAGAATTTTTTTTCTCATCTCTTCAAAAGCAGTCTAAATGGTCGACTGGTTCTCGCTGTTCTTTTCGATGCAATGGACCTCAAATATGTGCATACCACTTTTAATTTTATTCCGAATGAAGTTGATCGTGTAGTCATCATATAGAAGCCAAGATGGCATAGTTTTTCTCATATTCGAAGTATCAGAAATGCAAACAATTAACTATTATTTTAATTTTATTTACGGATCACATACACTAAGAAAGGGAAAATGTCTACAGGTTAAACTTTAGAACTCCTTTAACAATAAGAGCTAGGACTGTGTCTGGTACAACAGCTGTTTCTAACTGATATGTTTGGGATTGATTGATACAAATTGACATCCAACATTTATTTGAGACTGTTTATACTTTATAGTTGAAGTTAGCATAAGTGCATGTGGTCGTTTATAGAAAAGGTCAAATTATTCTAGCTGAGAATTGACATTTGTTTCTAGAGAAATGAAGTCAAATCATACTAGCTAAAGCGACTCACAAACGTGATTAAAAACAGCAATTAATGATAAAAGACCAGTTAGGTCAAACATGATGTAATAGTAGACTTGTTACCTTCAACCTAAAGGATGGGATTCAAATCTTCTTATATTTTAATATTAAAATCACAGGATATGGGGGTGGGGGGTTGGAATGAAACTTCCGACTGTAAAAGTATTCCACTCGTGCAACCCCAAAACACACATGTATCAATAATTTTAGACGTTGGGAGAAAGCTTTCTCACTCCCCCAAGACTGGATGGAAGATGCTCTTGAAAAAGATCTCTATAATTTCCATGTTTTGAACAGCTGCTCGCACTGCTGAGCATCGCTCGCAACGTAACTAATCACAATTTACAAGTGAACACACTAGTGTGTGTACAGAATAATGTCATTGGTCACATAGCAAATGAAATGATATAGGAGTCTGAGCAGCACAGAATAACAAAGTGAAGATAGAAATGTAAAATTGTTCTGCTGATTGCTTTCCAGCAGTTAGCAGGGTTTGGGTTATATAAAAATGTTTGACGCCTTTGACTGGTTCAATGAAGTTACCAATATGACATTACCAAAAATATATAAAATAAAACAAAGACCTTACTGAAATAGATATGCTCGTACGCGGCACGTGAAATTCACTACCAACCATAGACGGTGGCAGAGTAAGGTATTGATTGACTAGAACTTAGAAGGGAGGAGGGAGCCCATCTTGCTGGCAGTAACAATTTCATACTGCAATTTCGACGGACAAAATGAAGACCAACTTCGCGCGCAAAAATAGAAATCGTGACAGAATGAACGACATTTTGAAGGCTAATGGAACAAAGTTCATGGGATTTTGCACCTAACCTTACCACAAATCACCGTAGACTGTAAACCTTGCAAGTTGGAACGTGCAACACCGTCTTTTTCACAACTCTTTCTTTAATGTCTTAACTCTTGACCAATAATGATAATATTCATTCTCCAACAAATGGCAACGGCCGTACACTTGAAGCAATCTTCCCATTCCTTTTATTTATTGTTTTAGGTGATGCACATAACCCCAATCAGTAGTCAGTACTCAGAAGACCAATTAAACAGGGAAAATAAAAGGGTTAGGTACTCTGCAACTCAATGCAGAATTCTGAATGACATCCCATTTACGGTCAGGATTCATCCCCCTATACCGTGGGATTACAAAATTCTGATCTGGACTCATCAGTCATTCTCCCTAAGCTTCCGTTCTGTGATACATCAAGGCCCAGAGATGTCTATTGAAAACTTGGAATAGGTGCTCATAGGCCCTCGATTTGGAATCCTCTATATGTAAGAAAATCCACTGGCCATGTGAAAAGTCACACCTTAATGAAAGAATTTGCTAAAATCATCCCTGTGAACACACTACAAAATACATTATTATTTATTTTCTAGTAAAAATAAATCTGTTTTCTATCAACTGTTTTTGACTTGTTTACAGAATGGTTATTGGGTCTAAGTTGGATCCATTTAACCTTTGACTAAGTCAGCAAGAAAAGGTTTGACTTAGAATGGGCTGAGTCATTATGTGTTTTAAAACCATGATCATTGAGACACTTGTCTCAATCCAAAGGGGCAGAACAAGTCAAAGTCGGTGACATTATGCTTGGTAATGGCTCTTCTTCTCTTTCATAAGAGAGACATTGTGGCAATTATCTATAAAAGGGAAAGAGTAAAAATCACAAACTGACAGAATATCCTCTTTATTTGGAAGGCTATCAAACCTCCAAGAGTTCTGCCCAATTCCAATTGTAACATCACAGAAATTTATATTTGCACCTTATCTCTATTACTGTTATGTTATTGTTTTACAATGTCTAGGAGTTGGGACCATGCTGCCAGATTTTGATCGTATCTCCACAAGTTCATTAATTAAGAAACTACACAGCCAGTCAATCACTGATTTAAAAACATACTTAACACTAAAAATAAGGATGCAACTTGGGCCGGGTTGGCCTGAACCCAACCCAAAAAAGTTGGATTGGGTTGGATCGGGTTGATGTTCGGGTTAAGGGTCAACCCTAACCCAACCCAAACCGACTCTATAGTACATGTCTTATATAAATATATGTTATATGTAATATATAACATACATTGATTTATTTAGATTCATGATATTTGTATAGCCCCCACCACATAATATCATATATTTCTCTTAAGATAATCACTTCAGTTAATCCTAATCAGAAAGACTAAAACCATAATAACATTATTTTATATTTTTTTGAAAATTTTATGTTTTATCACAAGTCATAACTCATAATAAACTATAGTCCTTTTTAACACTTGTTTTTCTGAATTTTATACCAAAAGAACAAAAAAAAACATCAATAAACAAATACTAATGAAACATAGGATTAATATATGTAGTGAAAATTGAATTAATATCTAAAATTAAAAAATTCTACAAGGTTTTAAGGGATGGGAAAAAGGTTGGATTGGGCCCAACCCAACCCAAAATTGACTTTGAATTGGGTTGGATTGGGGTTGAAGGAATTTAATTAGGTTTAGGGTTAGGGTTGGGTTGAAGGTTAAGTTGGGTTAGAGTTTAGAACTTAGGGTTGGCCTCAACCCGACCTAACCCGGCCCAACTTGCAGCCCTAACTAAAGAGAATGTAATTGAGAATGTGACCAACTCTACAATCGTTCCCCCCTCCCCCACCCCCAAAGAAAAAAGAAAAAAAATATCAACAACCCTGCAATCGAAGGGAATAAAGGTATAGAGGGGCACGGCTTACTATATACCCACGGGAGTACGATGACTAAACAATTTAATACAGGCCCAAAGCCCCATCCACACCCGTGATCCCCCTCCGCCCTTCCCTCCCCGAGTACGACTCAAACTCACAGAATTCCATACCCGTGATAAGTTCCAACAAACCTAGACCAAACACAGAGGTCGAGTTTCAATATCCTTAACCCGTTGTTCTTGACTTCTTGTTCAGCCTCATTTGCCATGAGAAGCTAGAAGATCATGCATAAATATTTCCTTGATCGTCCACCGGCCGTCAGGATCTTTCCATGAGTCGACAACGTCAGTAATGCCTACAATTTTCCTTCTATTCCAAACATTGCAAAAGGAAACTCTAAATATGAAGTTAATACATTTGGTTACAATATAGCATGCCAGATCATGCATAATAACCCAGGCATAAAGGGAAACTTGAGAAATTAACCTTTGCAGGACTTCTTGACAACTTCGAAATTAAATAATTGGGGACTAATTTCGTAAGATATGGGACTCAAAATATTAATGGATTAAAAAAAAAAAAACAATTAGACAATTAGTAACTCAACACCATCAACCCTCACCCTTCCAGCACGTCTTAAAAGCTCATGACCCCCGGGTCTGGTATTTCTGTATCTGCAATAGGTACAGCAGTGTTAGGTTAGTTAGAAAACGAAAGCAAACAAAATGATGTTAAAATGAATAAATACTTGGAATATTATTTAAGAACAGCTAGAACAGAAAGCATAGGACGATTTCTTTTTTCTTTTTTTTTTTTTATTTCTCTTGCAATCATAGGACGATTTCTTTTTTTTTTTTTCTCTTGCAAACATAGAACGATTTCGCTAATAGAATAAATACACTGACATCCTAGGCAAAAAAAGTCCAGAACTGTTTTAGCTAAGGTGGGAGACTGTAGTGAATAATAATGGCAAGGCGCCCATGAACCATATTGATTAAGACAATAGCCATCATCTGGACCAACATCTTTTTTTTTTCCCTGAAATCTAGGGTTAAATTCAACTAATGGAATGGATTGCAAAGACTCGATCCCAACGTTCCATACATTGAAGCAATTATCAATATCATCTAATAAAAGGTCAAGAATGGCTGACGACCCAGTGGGCAGCTGCTGAGATGCTCACCCGGCAGCCCTCCCAATATGCAGGCACCGAGTGGGTGTAGGCTCTCTGTGGTAAGGTCAGTGGACCTCACGCATACCCTGTCTATCCACAACCCCTTAGTCCCCTGTAATGTGTAACAACTAACTAGTACCAAAAAATGAAAAAAGGGTCAAGAATGTTGATTCGGACAACCAAGTATAAATAACTTTTCTATCAAAATACCAGAAAAAGTACACACCTGCATCTTTATTACTCCACAATATTCACATGCATTAAATGACCATCTCTTCCTTAAATTCGCCAAATATTTCCGGACATCCGTCCCATTTTCTACGTTCTCTAGCCTCCCAATAACCGCCAACATAACGGAAATAACCATTTTCGCCATCCTTCTGGAACCATCTTGGTTTCCACCCGTTTTCTTGTAATTTCCTGGACTGCATCAAGGATCAAATCAACCAATAAATAAATAGTCCTTCTCCGAATAATTTCAATATATTTTATTTAATAATTTCAATTCATAAATACCAATAACCAACATGCAAAAGTACATATTGATACAAAGCAACTACAACATACTACAAGCCATGTCTTCCCCCTCCACAAGTTTTTTTTTTTTTTTTTGGTTTCTACAAGTTCATACAATACAAAATCAAATAAAAAAGTTTTGACGCATGAAAAAAGTAGCCATGTATAATCCTTCACAACAGAAATTTACAAGGAAACATCAACCAGGTTCTCCACTCAATCTGGGGCTTTATGGACCACTTCATGAGAGTCCTTTTGATAATTGTAATTTGCTCCTATATAAAAGAAGTGGCACTAGCAAATTTTTTAAAGACAAAAAAAAAGAAACTGGATTACAGTGTTAAAACACCACTACTGCATCAATCCCTACTCTAAACTTTGATGAGTTCAAACAATTCCTGCTGCATAGCAATACCACTATGAATGGTGGGTCCCTGGTGCTACACTTCAACTTTCATCCCTTTAGTTGTTAGGGGGCGGAAAGGATTTCTATTCCATTCAATATACAATAGTGCTAATCAAAAAGAAATCTGTAGCAAAGTTATCATCAAGGAGAACCCCTTTTAGATGAATATGTGAAGCTCACTTCATAGAGAATGAAAAAGTCAGAAGATGGATTATAAATTGGTAAACAAGAGATCAACTTCTTAACCATCTGGAAAAAAAACTGCCAAACCTTTATTTCAAAAGGCAATACAGAACACTTCTACAGAAGAAAGATAGCATCAAAATCAATTTCACCATTGCAATGTCTTCGTTTTCATTTGCATATTCAAAAGTTTCATTTGTTCTAAGGCTCAGGTTGGCTTCATAAAAAGGTAAACACTTATCTTTTCTAGGAATATGTGCCATCCAGCAGGGGAAATGCTTATCAATCACAATAACAAAAAAGCTGATTGTTATATAAGCCAGAATGCAATTTCAATGAGAAAATAATAGGAGTCAAAACAATCAAAGGCCCCTGGCAAGATGGGGAAGTGAACCATCTTAAGGGAGAAATGACATTTGGATAACCCAGATATGAATTATACCATATAAGACTAATTACAGGAAGTTGGCCATGGAAACTAACACAGACAGAATTGATGGATAGCACAGATGTATAGCAAAATTGTTGCTACATATACATCGTATGTGTCAAGAAAAAAGTAGGCAAGTGGTCCTACACATACCATTCTTTGTCTTTGCTCTAACCGCAACTTCTCAGCATTTGCCTTCTCATATTCCCCATTCTCAAGATACCGTTGGTCTGGTCTAAGTCTTGAATCCGTGGGTGGAAGCTTCTCCTTAATCCGTGATCAAACACTCGGGATCAGACACAGCTAAAACAGACAATTAGAGATGAATAAGGGGGAAAAGGAAGTGGATTATAACAAAAGCGATGGAATACATTATTTCTACCTGTAATCCTGGTGTAAGCTCATTCAGTGTAATTGCAAATGATGTCATGTTGTACCGAGTGAGGTTAGGGGGTGGTTTACTACTTTTCCACAATAAAGAGGCCTCAGATGATAGATTACAATCCTTCAGCTTTGCAGATCCATCACCTTCAATATAATATATGCAGTCATCCCACTTTCCAAATAAGGTGGCAACCTTGTTTCCCATGACATCTTGAATATGTCCTTGCACCTGTATAACACAGCCAAGCATGTTCATATTTTGCCATTCAGTGGAGTGGAGTCTTGGTGACAATAAATAACAATGAAATTAGCAGTGGCACAACAAGAAATTTCAAAAGTTACAATTCATCCATGTGACATACAAATGCAGGGAGGTTATACCACACTAAATTGGAGAAAGGAGAGAAAAATTGGCCAAATCAAAATATTCTGACATGTATCTTTCTGTCAGTACCATATGATTGAGCTACTTTTTGGGCTGTATCCAACCCAATATTCCATATAATCATAAAATGGCACTTGATAGATCATATGAGCACATGGACCAATCATATCAAATATAGTTTTTTTAGAAGGTGTTGCATTTAGGAGAGTAAATATGGATTCTCATGTTCCCATGCCTGAGAAATGAAATGTATTATCCTAAGACCTATTGTCATATTACCTACCTGATGAGGATTACGGTCAAGGATAGACTGTTCTTTGAACTTGAGTTTGCAAGAATATTCACGGTTGCCCTGTATGTGCATTGTTCCATGGTGATCACAATACACTTTTCCAAGGATGAGATTGTAAATATTTGTTGTGACCTGAGGTTGGCATAAACATGCTACTAATATTCATTATGTCTGTATTTAAAAAGACAAAAAAGACAAAAAAGCTAAGAAATCAATGCAGACCTTGCTCCACTGGAAGATCTCACCATCATCAAACTCTAGAGTCAGAACTCCAACAGGGTCAAGTTGAATTGACCTTCCCCAAAATTTCGTCCTCAGGTTACTGTCACCCCAGAATTTCCATCCTCTGCCTTCACAGTGGCAGGCAATGAGCGTTGGATGGTGACTAACCTATTTTATCAGACGTTGAAATTAAAAAATAGCATATAAAGGCAAGTAAACAAAGATGTAAAACTACAAAACAATCTAATCTCAAGTAGAATATCTAAAAACTAATAAGTGGTGAAAGTGAGAAAATGAACTTCATTAATGTTAGATGCAAACCACTTGAAACCATGAATACAGCATTTAACAAAAATACCAAACTATCTCCATAACACTTCTTCTGGAGATTAAACATGTTTGACTTTTTACATAAAAACTTGGAGAAATTTTACACAGCATAATTCACCCAATTAAAACAACTTATTATTTTGTATAAAGTCCATTCAGTTCAGGTATCATATAATCAACAGGATTAACTAACATATGCAACTGCAGAATTTCTTAGTCTGCTCTCCTTATAAGATAGAGAGAGAGAGGCCTACAATCGATCAAGATGAATTTTAGGGTTATTGGCCAGGCTTTTTTTTCTTTTCTCCCCCCTTTATAATATCATGCAAAGAACCAAACACACTAAGTTCAAAAACACGGTTGTAGATGGTTTTATTCCCTACAAATCATTACAATTGTTACATTGTTGTAGAGGAAATAGTCAGCCAAGTTTGAAAGCTAAGCTGTAGACAATTTGTTTCTATTAAGTTGTTTACGCAGAAATAAAAGAAAGACAAGAGATATGTTTATGGATGAAGACATTAAGTTGAGAGGAAACAATCATCTTATCCAAAGAGAAAAAACTGAAGAAGGGAAGATGGCTTTCCCTAGTACCTAACATTCATCTATGGTTTGGAGGTTCTTGGACTGAGTTCTCATACTTTTTCCTTTTCTTTCTTTCTCTTTATTTTCCTCCTTTTCTTCTCCCCACTTCACTCTCTTCATTTTATGTATTTCAGTTTGCAAAGGATAGCCAGCCTAGCACTAGGCCTGGAGGTCCCTCCTCTTAATGACAGAGGTTTCCTATTTCGGTGCCATGTGTCCTACAACTTAAAGACAAATGACCATGTATTGGACACATAACAGGCCCGCTTTTTATGCCAAGTGCACCTTTTGATTAACTTTAATGGGCTTCCAAAAATCTCTTTAAGAAAGGTTTCATATCTTGGCACAATAGTTGGGTTGCTCCATTGCAACATGGGTGACCAAGGTTCAAATCTTGGAAACAGCCTTTCTGTATGTGCAGGGGTAAGGCCATGTACATCTGTCCCTCCCTAGACCCCGCATTGGCGGGAGCCTTGTGCACTAGGCTGCCATTAGATTCGGATCAGTATTTGAGGCCATTGCTCTATTCAATAAAGCAAAATATTTTCCTCTCCATTCAGTGTGCATTTATAATGATGTCAATTATTATTACATCCTCCATCAAGGATGGCTACATTCTGACCTGCAACCCTTCCACAAATCTCAACTGCGAAAAGCACTTCAATAAAACTTGACATTTAAAAGATAAAACCGCTTCTTAGTTAATCATGTTTTTAAACCAATAGTATTGGACCCACCAAGATGGCCAATTGTCATCACACCAATATCCTAAACCAAAGATTGAAACACAAACCTCCACTGCACAAAATGGCATTGACAAAAAAATTCAAAAAATATGTGAAATCACTTGAGAAACCAAAGTACCATTGGGAAAAGGAATATCTCTGAAAAAACCCAAAATGTCAGAGTCTGATCTAGGGAAGGGTATGTGGGGCTATCTGGATGGTACCACAACCACTCCTGATGTTACAGATGCTAAAGGGCTGAAACAATGGAAAATCAATAATGCCCAAATAGTTTCCTAGATATTAAGTTCAGTCACTGTCGATGTAGCTATTCCTATGAGAGGCCTGAAAACTACTAAGGAGATGTATGACTACCTTGAGAAGGTGTATCAGCAGTCAAATATGTCCAGACAATATCAGATTGAAATGGACATATTCTCATACACCCAGGGGGAGAGAAGAATACAGGAATATTATGCTGGTTTTGTTAATCTGTGGACAGAATATGAACTCATTCATCTTGGAGCCACAACAACTGATTGCTGTGTGACAACTATGAAAAGGCATTTCGATCAAAGGAAGATCATGCACTTTCTTATGCACCTTAGACCCGACTATGAGTTGATAAGATCCAACATACTCAGCAGGGAAAATGTGCCTGACCTGGACACCATATTGGGTGAACTATTAAGGGAGGAGACTAGATTATATAGTTTTTCTAGCTACAAAGCCAAAGGCAAAAAGTTCTTCTCCAAGATGCAGTGCTATGAGTGCAAGGAGTTTGGACACGTGGCCTCTCATTGTAAGAAAAGGAATTTTTGTACCTACTACAAACAACAAGGTCACATCATTACTGAATGCCCTACCTGACCTCCCAAGAAGGGTCAATTCAAGGCACTTCAAACAGTTACAGAGCCTTCATTTGACATTACTGTCTCCTCCAACTTAGAATCAAAGGGAGAGCCATCTAGTACTCTGACTAAGGATAAGATACGACAGCTTGTGTCTTCAGCTATTTCATCTGCCTTCTCTGCTATCAGCCTGTCTAGTAAGTCTATTACCACTTGCTCTTCTCCTAGCCATATGTGGATTATAGATTCTGGAGCCTCAAATCATATGACTGGGGCCTCATTTGGTTAGACTCCTAAACCCTACCCTTCTAATGACCAGATTATTACTGCTAGTGGTGAGTCATTAAAGATTGCTGGTTGTGATGATTTATTTCTTTCTACCTCTCAATTATCTTCCTTTCATCTCCCAAAAACCTTCTTTATTCCTCAATTAACTACCAATCTTATTTCTGTGGGTCAACTTGTTGATGATGGTAACTTGGTTCTATTTTCTCATGATGGTTGTGTCATACAGGATCAGCGCAATAGGGAGGTGAAGGGGAATGGGAGTAGGCTTGGGAGGTTGTTTGCCCTTGAGTTTGAGAAGAAATCTACATCTTCATTTTGTTTTCTTCCTACTACTAGTGATGTGTTACATTCTCGTTGTAATAATGTGTGGCATTTATGGCATAGACGTTAAGGCCACACACATGCTAAGAATTTGGATCATCTATTTTCTTCTTGTTTACCTACTGTTAATTCTGTTTCTAAGAATATTGATAAATCTTGCAAAACTTGTGATCTTAGTAAAAGTCATATTTTACCTTTTCCATCTTCATCTGTGCATGCTACTATTCCTTTCCAAGTAATACATAGTGATGTTTGGTCTTCTCCTGTTATATGTAGACTTGGATACAAATACTTTGTTTTATTTATTGATGATTGCACTAGATATACTTGCATTTATTTCCTTCGGAAGAAATCAGATGTACTTCCCACCTTTCAGAACTTTCACACCATGATAATGACCCAGCACAATGCCACCATTCGTATTCTACATTCTGACTCAAGGGGAGAATATTTTGATGGGGAAAATGGAGAATTTCAGACCTATTTAAAGAAACATGATATTCTATCCCAAAGATCTTGTCCACGAACTCCTCAACAAAATGGAGTTGCTGAACGCAAGAACCAACACATCTCGAGTACGGTGAGAATCCTTTCTGCTTGACTCCCATGTTCCCGTTACCTTTTGGGTGGAGGCGGCCAGCACTACTGTGTATCTCATTAACATCATTCCATCTTTAGTTCTTGGTAATCAATCACCTTTCTATTATCTTTTTCATCGTTCTCCAAACTACTCTACACTTCATGTTTTTGGTTGCATTTGCCTTGTACATCTTCCTCCCCATGAGTGCACTAAGCGTACTACTCAACCAGCTATGTGTGCCTTTATGGGGTACAGTTTAGAACATAAATGACTTCTCTATTATGATCCTAAAGTTTGTCATCTCCGTATATCTTGAAATGTTTATCTTTCTTGAAAATTTGTCCTTTTATGAATATGTTGTTAAATTACCTGCACCATCCTTCTCTATTCTACATAACTTTACTCTTGCAGGCGATTCAGTCTTGCCTCTTCAAGTCTATCACCGTAAGTATCCAGCTGCACCAATGCCTATGCCTCATCCTCCTTCATCGACCCCAATGCCTATTCCTCTGACATCCTCAGACCCTACACCATCCACATCTACTTCTCATGTAAGTGATCATTCACCTCCTACTCCCACTCCTTTACGACACTCTTCTAGTGTTATTCATCCTCCTGACTGCTATGGATATTCTGCTATCCATGGTTCCCTTTCTACTACTTTGTCTTCTACAGATATCCCTAAGTCTTACCAACAGGCCATAGTTGTCAAGGCGTCACCTAAGCGACTAGGCGCCCTTGGTTGGGCGCCTCGCCCAAACGCCTTGAGTTTTAGCAACTAGGGCACCTTTTATAATGTCATTTATATTGATGCATTTTATTAATGTATGTGTTGATACATTTTATTATATGCCATATATATCAATTATACTTTGTTTTAATGTTTTACTATTGAAATTCAAAAGATCAAAGGGTTTTGAGGAGACAAAAAGAAAGAAAGAAAAGAAATAGGAAAGAAAGAATAGAATTCAAAAGATCAAAGGGCGCCTTTTATAATGTCATTTCTATTCTCTCTCTCTAATTAAATAAAATAGAAACTCCATCCTTATTTTTTTTCTATTTTACTTTCTATCTTGAATATTTATCATATAAAGTTAATAACCATCTTTAGCTACTAATTAATATGAACTTGCTCTATTAAATACTTATTATAGTAGTATTATTTTCGAAAATAATGAAATTAATACATGTAATGGTATATAATGTTCTTAATAAATGATTTGCCACATTTTTAGAGAAAATTTAATGTTCTTAATAAAGAGAATTGCTATTATTTCAATTATCATACATGCTGAATGGTATATAAAACTAGGAAACTAGCCAAAAGTCAGTTTTTTATATTATAAAACTTTTATCGCCTAGGCGACTAGGTGACTAGGCACCCCAATGTCGCCTAGAATCGCCTAAACGCCTTGAAAACCATGCAACAGGCCGCAGCAATTGAGCATTGGAAAGATGCAATGGACTTGGAAATTCAAGCCCTATTGGAAAATGATACTTGGGACCATGTTTCTCCTCCACCAAATGCCTCCATTATTGGCAGTCATTGGGTGTTAAATAAAAAGGAACTATTGCATGCTCAGAATGAAAGGGTAAAATATGACTTTTGCTCAAACAACAAGTAATGCAAGATTTATTAACATTCTTAAAGGAAGCAGTAGAACTCGGTAAACTACCAGAAGCAAACAAGTAATCAAGTTTCTTAAAAAAATGATGTCTGAGGCGTCTATGGCACACATTTTCGTCATTATTACAACTAAAAGATTCAAAACTAGATGTAGTAGGGAGTAAACAAGTAGAAACTGAATTAGCTTTCTTATTATCAAGCTCCAGAGCAATCAGTTGACCCATTCTGCGCCCCTTCCCCTTAACCTCCCCAGTTTGCTAATCCTGTATCAAACAACCATTAGAAGAAAACAAGACAACGTTACCATCTTCCACAAGTTGACCAACAAAAATCAAATTAGTGGTTAATTTGGGCACAAATAAGGTCTTGGGTAGGTGAAAGTAAGATGACTTAGAGGTAGATAAGTGTAAATCATCACAACCAAGTAAATCTAGTTTTTCACCATTTGCAGTGACAATATGTCTATTAGAAAGATGGAGTTTAGGACGCTGACCGATGGAGGCCCCTATCATGTGATTAGAGGCACCAGAGTCTATAATCCAAAGGTGGTTTGATGAAGGGCAAAAAGTAGAAGACTTACCAAACTGACAACAGCTGAGAAAGCGAAAGGGATAGTCGAGGACATGAGCTGCCGAATCCGTTCTTCAGAAATACCACCAAAAGTATCATTCTATGAAGCCACTGAAATAGTGTTAAATGAGGCATCTGAATTCTCTACGGATGACAAGCAGGCTTTATAAGACCCTTTCTTCTTATTAGACCCATTTCCTTTTGGTGGTCGAGTTGGACATTCTGCAATGATATGCCCCTACTACTTGCAATAAGTGCAGGTATTCTTCTTTTTACAATGTGAGACATGTCCAAACTCTTTGCATTCATAGCACTGAATTCAGGAGAAATCTTTCTTCCTTTTTGATTTAGTTGCCAGAAAATAGCATCAATGTTGGAGTCTTTCCTCCCATCAAGTGTGGTCGGTGTAGAAAATCTGGTTTCAGCTCTAAAAATTTCCCCAAGAATAGTATCTAAATCAGGAAGTGTTCATCGACTCAAGATATTAGGTCTGACAACTTCAAACATAGGTCTGAGATGCATTAGGAAATGCATAACCTGCCTTTTATCAAAGTGTTCCTTCATATACTTGATGCAACAATCTGACGGATCCTTTCCCATGTGTACTAACCCATATTCTGCCTAAAGGTTAATAAACCCTACATAGTATTCTTGGACTTTTCTCTTTCCCTGATAGTATGAGAAGATATCAGCCTCTACTCGGTACTGTCTAGAGGTGTTTGATTGCTGATATACCTTCTCAAGATACTCATACATCTCATAAGTTGTTCTATAACCTCTCATAGGAATGGCAATGTCAACCTCAACCGATCCAAGAATCCATTATGTAATCTTTGCATTATCAATTTTCCACTGGTTTAAAGCCTTAATGTCTGAGTCATCAGGTTTAGGTGTAGTTCCATCTAAATAGCCCCAAAGACCCTTTGCCTCAACATGAAATTGGAAGTTAAACTTCCACAAGTCACATTTCGACCCATTAAATATAACAAGGACATTCATTCTTTTTGAAGCCATTAGCATAAAAAAAATGCTGATTTCCAAGACTAATATCAGAAATCGAAGAAGAGATGATGATGGGAAGGTACCTTTCACTCAGATGTCCAGAAAAGGAAACTATCACAGTATGCTGAACCAAGAGAAGAATAAAACCCTTCTTAAACCAAACTGATTTCAACCAGGCTGAAGAGGATCACAAGAACTCCTCTGGTTGACACTAGATCTTGAGTTTCAAGCAGATTTGATGTCTCCAAGTGCAGATCGAAGAAAAGAAGTAAATCCGGTGGCACAGACTTCCAGATTTCAGATCTGTCAACGTTTGATCGAAAGAGCCTTGGGAGAGAATAGTCTAGGGCACTAAAGGGTTCCCAAGTATTGTTAGGAAGACCCCTAGACGCCAAAAGATTCAAAGGACAGAGAAGTAAACTCAATAGATCAGATCATGACCTGCTCTGATACCATGTCAGAGTCTGATCTAAGTCTGTAAACCCAGGAAAAAGGAGAGACAGCAGCAGATTTGTGGGTGTGTCCAATGGAGAGATCGACACCCTAAGAAAGATATTTATATTAAACTGTAAAAGGACCAAATTGTCCTTAGTGTACAAGAGAAGAAATAGTGTACAAGATAAAATAAAATACAGCAAAAGGTAAAAAAACAAAAATAGCCTCCTTGGCTAACTCTCTTTATCTCTACACAAAATACAAGCTAAATATACTGCTTAAATAGATGAAAGCAAGGATTATAGAGATCAAGCAAAATACCATTGGTAACACCACTCAAAACCTATCAAACATGTAATACCAAACTTTTTCAGACCATCCACAATTCACCCCACTAAAGATCACGACATATTTTAAGTTACAAATAACTTCAATGTTTGTATTATCAGTATACTATAAAATCATATTACAGTGTGTGTCATATACACATGTACAGCCAGAAACTATACATCATTATCTCAGTCAAGCCAAGCGGAATTTAGAAACAATTCAATACACTCAATTGGAAATCAATTCTTCTATTCATAGAAATTAACGAAGCCAAATTTCCTTCTATTCTCAATTAATAATGCGACTGACAATGCCATTTCTTATGCTCAAATTGGAAACAAAATCTTCTGTCAATCCAGAATCTAAGTGATGTGCAGAAGAATAAGTCTACAGTGTCCTTGTATGATACTTCTCATGCTATATATACAACTTCGGGATGAATAGTTTTTACTACTTCAAGGTTCCAAAACCATCTGTCAGCCAATCCAATAAATTAACACTTTACATGTATGCATCCTCTGGTGATCACTTACTAAAATGCCAAACATAATCAAAGGGAAATGCTCCACTACTTCGCCACCAGACAAATTTGACACTCTACAGCACTAAACTTAGACACTATATCTGTTTCAAAAAGTATGTCAATTTGGTAAACAGTAAAAAAGAATGTACACAAACATCCATGAATAGACATAAAACTGCTGATGTTGGCTATATTAAAAAATGTTAGACAGATTTTTTTTTTTTTATAGTTAAGTGTAATACAAAGATTATTCAATAAAATTGAAATCCAAATAAAGCTTGATGATAGGGTTATACAGGAGGAATAAACCAACACACATGCTAGGAAGGAGCTTCAGCATTTAATCAATAAAATACAATCTGCTCTAAGTAACGGAGGATTTAAAACATAATTAAGTATATACTATGCAGAGAACAACAGAACTCCTGAAAAGTAAACTTTGACGCGAGTACCCAAGTTTATTAAGAAAATTTCTGATCAATGTTATCAGTGGTGTGGGGGTAGGAATTCTTTTGCAAAGAAATCTGACAATTTCTGCAAACAGGAGTCTGGTTGGAGTATTAGGATGAAATATGGAAGGATTGGTTGTAATAAAGACTTTTGAGTAAAACCTAATATGAAGGAAATCAGAGGTATGACACAAAATGATAACCACCGAAGCAGGTAAGTTTCAGGTTTGGGGAAAACTGAGTCACTGGAAAATTGTCAAACAAATAAGAATACCACTATTCAAAATATGTTGTTTTATCATGCTTCCCCTGGAAATTAATAGCTAAACAATGCTGGAGTTAGAAATTTTGCAAAGAAAGAACAAAATCACTCAATCAGCAAAAGAATAACTCAGAGGTTTATGGGAATCATCCAGAAAAGCAGCAATAAGCAACTCTCTCAAAATATCAATAGCCACATTTTTCATCAAAACACTAGTATATATACTCAAGAGCTCTATCATTTTTATTAAATATAAGGAAAATAGGCATCATAGTACATTGACAGACAAAAATCAACAACTAATTATCTACAAACACAATGACTCTGATACTAATACAAACTAAAAATATATAAAATGACAAATGGAACATTGCAATCCAAAAATAAAATTATACATGCATTTATGAAACTCCAATATCAGACAACTTGGCTCCTGTACACCCCCCCCCCCAAAAAAAAAAAAAAAAATCATGTAAATGCTATGAAAGGTAACTTGCAAGATGGCATGGACCAACAATAACACGATTCCAGAAAAACAATCCTGACTTTGTTGAAATGGACTTAAGAATTTAAGTGTTAATAATACACGAGGCATATCTGTATTTAATTTCAAGTAACTAGTCCATTGATAAGTAGGGTTTTGTAATTATGCCTCTAGGTGGTTAGATACTAACCTTCTCAGAGAAGAAACGAATCCCTTTCTCAGGGTAGTCAGCTTCATAGGTTTCACCCAATAAAGGATTGAAGGGTTTGCAGTGACGACCTTCAGAAGATGCATATCCAGATATTGCAAATGCAGCTACGTTCAAAATTCTTAGGAGACCATTTCCCTAGAAACACAATACAGGCCTCATTTGAGTAAAACAATGTAAGATGCCTGTGCATAGCAATAAATTTACAAACTCTTTGTTCCCTAAGGGGCTCAGTTTGAGAAGAGTGCAAATAGAAAAATGTTCAGTGTAAAACCTTGTATTTGCACTCTTCCCAAACTGAGCCTAATTTGCAGATAGTCTTTAACACATAAAATTGTTACTGTGCACTAATAACATTGGGAATGATAGGGCCATTACCCAACCTTTTTTCTGGCCATAATGGGTCTTGGGAGGGGTGGACTTCATAAGAACCTAACCTCTGACGTTTTCCTGCACAGTGCAGATGTTCTCAGACTCGTACTTGTCAGTCTGAGGTTTTATCATTGCACCAAGCAATGACACTTCAATCTCATTAAGAATCTATAGAGAAAATCAAAAGGTACCAATTATGAAAGGAATAGTTTGGGCACGCCCTATTTCTGATAAAAGCAGGCACCAAAAGTATATGCTTTAAAAGAAAAGGGCACCACAATGTTTCAACATTTATAATTACCAACAGTATTTCTTTTGTCTTTTCATTAGGGATGTGTCCCATTTATCAAAAATGTTGTCTGCCCAAATCACTTCCCATTAACAAATACAATACTTCAAGAAAATATAAATCCTGGTCTCTCACATGGGTAAACTCATCAATGGTCCATAACGGACAATTAGATATATGTAGAAACTTCGCCAGTGAAAAGATTTTTAAAATCAACCTATACCATGTCTTCTTTTCTTTTAACTTTAAGATAAATAAAACTTGTCCACATATAATCAACTAAAATCCAAAGGAGCATCCCTACCTGATGAATAATGACATGAATTAATTTTGTCCAACAAAATATATGAAAAATTGGAAATTGAAAGTGATAACTAATGTCAAATACCCATGTACAAACCATGGTAATAGCAAGGAGAAAGGATTTTCCTGGTCAGTACAAGAACTAACATAACAGGGTAACTTCAACCCCAATTATTTGGTTGTCATAAGATATAGGCAAACAATCATCATCATCATCAAATCCTTTACATTGATAGAATGGACTGGGGTAACAAAGTAAAAATTTGGAACATTGGGAAACTAACTTACTAATAACAAAATTGGAGCATATCTTTTCTTTCTTCTTTTTAGAGAGAGAGAGAGAGAAGCAATCATTGAAGCAAAGCTACTTTTTTACCACAGAAGACAATGAAATGTATATTAAAGAGAGCAATGGCAAATCTAAAAACAAATTCCTGTTTCCAAAACTTGCCTTCTTTCCATATTCATATGCTCGATCAAGAAGATAGGAATACTCCAAGTCCTCAAAGCATTTCTGTAGGGATGATATTGGTTCATTGAAGTAAACAGGGAGACACACTCTTGTGAGATCCTTTCCGACATTGCCTTTGATCATTGACCAAAGACTGACACCTTTCTCTTTCTCAATAGGGTCAGGAAGTTTCTTTCGCCTTTCAATGTGAGGGAATTTGAAGTCAAAGTCCTTGTCAGCATACATCTTGTCAGTAGTAGCAAAGTGGTTTCTGGGCTTCATACAGCTCTCAACATTCTCCCCCACTCCCATCATACACCCACAGATAGAAGTTGAATCACTAAAATACTCTCTTGTGTCAAAAAATAAAGTCTCATCATCATCTGAGACTTCCTCAAGCTCTTGTTTTTCAATATCATCAGATGATTCAGTTGTGCTGTATTCTGAACACCAAAAGAATAAGTCGGTCAAAAAGAGGCAGACTGAAAAATGTTCAAATATAATAACAAATATTCAGGAATATTAGTAGCCAGCAGAAGCTTCCAGTTATTGAAAATTACCTTGACATAAAAAACCATTGAATATGACACAACTAAATATCTTCCAAGGAAAGGGTGACTTTGTAAAGAGAATACAAGTAACACAATTCCTAGGAACTAAAATATACTAAATTAAATAAAGAAAAATATAGAACACTTTTTTTCAATTTGCAGGCGGTTCTTCGATTTTTTTGGAAGCATCTAGAGCTTAAGTGTTGAACTTAAGGGTCATCTTGAGATTTTTTGAGAAGTTGGTGGGGCAAAAGATCAATTTAACGAAAAGTGTGATGATTGAAATAGGAAACATCTTACAAAATCTTTTATAAGATTGTGCAGAAACCTTGGGATGTTTTGTGGGGGAGTTCCCATATATTTGTTTGGGCCTTCCAATTGGTGCAACGGCCTCTGCTTCTCTAACTTGGCAACCAGTGTTGGGTAGAATTGATCAACGTTTGGTAGGCTGGAAAGGGAGATATCATTCACTTGATGGGTGGACAACTCTAATTAAAAGTGTGTTGTCTAATTTGGTGGTCTAATATTTGCCATTGTTAAAAGCACCTGCCACTGTGGTAAAACGCATAGAAAAAATGCGAAGAGAATTTTTGTGGGGATTTAAGGGGGTTGAAAAGAAATACCACTTAGTTAATTGGGATAAGGTATGTAGAGATAAAAAAAAGTTGGAGGCATGGGAATTAGAAGGATGAATCTGTTCAACAAAGCTTTATTGGGGAAATGGCATTGGAGGTTTGTGACTCAGAGGGAGGCACTGTGGAGAAGAGTGTTAGCTTGCAAGTATGGAGTTATTGGGTTCAAATGGAACTCCAAAGAAGTAAAATCAACCTATCGAATGAGTGTTTAGAAGTGCATCATGTGTTTTTAATCATCCTCTTCCTTCCTGAATTCCGTATCCTTTAAGGTTGGAGACATAGTTGTCAAGGCAACACCTAGGCGGGCACCTAGGCAACGCCTAGGCGACAAGGCGCCCTTGAAGGTTCGTCTCGCCCAGTCACCTAGCAGTTTTGTGCACCGGGTTATAAAATACTTTTAGATTTTTAATTTTTTGACATTATAATTATAAAATAGACATTATTAAACTAGAATATTCATGTTATGTGTTTATATACTAATTTCTTTTTATTATTTTCTTATTTTGTTAGGGCTTAATCAATGCAAACATTGCTAACTGCTGTATTGAACCCATGGTTCACAATATCGATTACACCTCTATGTATTGGCAGAGGTGTATCGGTACTTATAACGATACTCCCCCTATTTTTTTTATTTCTTTGGTTTTCAATTTCATTTTTAAATAAAAATATATATTATTTAAAAAATGGGTCCCCAAAAACACCTGTAAACAGGTATCGGGACCCCAAAGATGCAATACAATACACCCGATACGGGGCATACTGTATCGAAATTTTGATCCTTGATTGAACCCTCAAAAATTTCAAAACCTGAACCAAGCAAGGGAAGAACTTAAAATTTTGTCTAATCAACACATCTTCTTCTTCCATGTCTTCTTCTTCTTATTCCACCTTTTCTTTTCTTCTTTCCTATAACACAAGTAGGAGTTCAGCCCCTATATTTTTTGAATTTTCTTTACTTTGTTCTTTTTCTTCTCATAAAATGTTGAATTTCTAGACCTAAACATGAAATTTATACTTTTCTTATGAAAATTATGAATAATTATTGAGAAAAGATGGTTATGGAACCTAGGGAACTACCCTAGGATCTAGGGTTTTACTTAAAAAAATCCATTGCCTAGGCGACAAGGCGCCCCCCTGTCGCCTAGCCTCGCCTTGGCGCCTTGAAAACTATGGTTGGAGATGGATCAACAATCAAGTTTTGGGAAGATGACTGGTTAGGGATAGGAAATTTATGTGATCTTTGCCCTTGATTCCATAGACTGGGCAAGAACAGTTTGATTTCAGAAAATTTTGAAATTGATCAAGGTAGAGCAACCTGGTGCAGAAAATTCAGAAGAGAATTGTTTGACTGGGGGATCCGGGAATGGTGGAAAAATCTAGAAATAGGGTGTACTCTGTTAAATCCTTTTACAAGGCTCTGATAAGAATGGAATTGGAAATTTCTGAGTTAAAAGGGATTTGGGGAAACACCATTCCTCCAAGGGTAGAAGCTTTTGCTTGTTTGGTGGCGTTGGATAGCATTCTGATTTTGGACCATATTCAGAGCAGCGTTCACTTAGCTGGAAGATGCTATTTGTGTGAGAATGCAGAGAATGTTCTTTACCTGTTTGTTGGCTGCCCTATTTGGGATTTGTTTAGGGTTTCTTCTTTGGTCGTTGGCCATAGAAGAAATAGAAGCAAAAATTGTGTGAAGTTGCATCCCTTTTGCTATTTGATGGGAAGTGTGGAAGGAAAGAAATAGAAGAATTTCTGAGAACAAAGCTAGCTCAAGAGATAAATTAACACTCATTTATTTTCTTTTTTGATCAATATAAATTAACACTCATTTATGGCAAAAGTCTTATCGAATGGGTACTCATTCTTCCAGAATTTGAAATAGCTTCTAAGGAAGACTTTGGTGCTGGTTTTTGGAGCCTTATTGAGTTAGACTGGTTGTCACTTGTTTCTTTTGTAAAAGATCTGTTCAGTTTTTTTTTTTTTCCTTTTGCTATTTGCACACTCTTTTGGTGATTTCTCGTCACCCTCTTGATGTACCTTTGTTTCCTTTTATCAATAAAGTTTTCTTTTTTATTTATTACCAAAAAAAGATAGAACATTTTTGACAATATAAAAGAATGGTTCAATCAAACAAGGCAATACTATTTGTCTTTGATTACTTAACCCCGTAAGTTGGGATACATTAACAAATATGAGGCAACAAAAAAGAAATCATACAGTAGAGCTCTTTGGTTCAAGCTTCTGAAGATTGAAAAACAAAATTAAAACAACAAAGGGAACTTAATAGATGTTTGGTGCATTAACGTATGAATGGAAATTAGGCTTAAAATGTCGGTGTTGATGGAAATGCCGATCATCCAAATATAGGAAACATCTCAAAAATGTTGGAAATATTGTAAAAGTTATAGCCATGGTGAAAACATTGTGAAATATGCAAAAATATAGAATGATATTTTAGAAATAATAAAAGAAGCATAGACACACCTTTTTAAATAATTATCTTGTTCCAAATCATTAAACTAAGTTAAGAAGCTAAAGTTGTAGAAAAAATAATACGTTGTGAACATAGTTGTCAAGGCGACGCCTAGGCAAGCGCCCTTTGAGGCTTGCCTCGCCTAATCGCCAAGCAGTTTCCTACTTCCTACTACAAAATAATTTTTTATTCATTTTTTTGAGATTATAATTATAAAATAGACATTATTAAACTAAAATAATCATTCCGTGTGTTTATATACTAATTCTTTTTATTATTTTCTTATTTATTAGGGTTTAATCAACACAAACATTGCCAAATGCTGTATTGAACCCTCGACTTAAAAACCTGAACCAATAAGTAAGAAGAACTCAAAATTTTATCTAATCAGCACATTTTCCTCTTCCATAAATTCTTCTTCTTCTTCTTCTTCTTTTTCTTCTTCTTCTTCTTCTTCTTCTTCTTCTTCTTCTTCTTCTTCTACTACTACTACCACTACTACCAATACTTTTTATTTTCTTTTTTTCCTATAACAAAAATAAGGGTTCAGCCCCTATATTTTTTGAATTTTATTTTCCTTCTTCCTTTTCTTCTCAAGAATATGTTGATTTTCTATACTTTAATATGAAATTTATACTTTTCTTATCATGAATAATTATTAAGGCTGAGTTTGGAAGGAGTACAAATGCAAATATGTAGAGTGCAAAACCTTATATTTTGTATTATTTTGTATGTATTTACGCTGTACATATTTGCATTTGTATTGCTTCCAAACTGAGCCTAAAGGAATATGGTTATGGTACCTAGGGAACTACCCTAGGATCTATGTTTTTAACATAAAAAAATCCATTGCCTAGGCGCCCCCCAGTCACCTAGCCTTGCCTTGGCGCCTTGAAAACTATGGTTGTGAAGTTGTCTTATAAACTGTAAGAGTCAAAAGTACATGATAGAATAAGGTCAAGCAAAACTTAAATTCATAGAAAAACGCAAATGATTTTAATAGACCAACCAAATAATCTATTACACAAACACAAACTAATACTAACTTCATGTTTGAAAAGAACATTGAGATGGCTCAAAGTGGTAATCATCTCCATTCGGTGGGCAATAACATTGCTACACCACATACCTACAATATTGTCACCAACTCACATTATAATACTATCACTTGTATTCCACTTAGTGTTGGTAGTGATCAATGGGGAATATGTAAATTCCATTAAAATTTCATGTCAGTACCCATGGAAATTGGAAACAGCCTCTCTATATGTGCAGGGGTAAGGTTGCACACATCTGTCCCTCCCCAGACCCCGCATTGGTGGGAGACTCGTGCACTGAGATGCCCTTTTTTTACCCATGGAAATGGAAATATGTCATGGAAATATTAGGAAATTTATGGACACATTAAACTTCACAGAACATTTCATCTCCATCTTGTTAGGTGGGACCATTATTTTGGGTAGACCTGGGAAAACAAGAATATAACAGAAAAAAGGGGGAAAAGTCAGGGTGTTCGACGAAATGGTGAAGCAATGTGGTCTCTCTTATTATATGGTTACACACATACATGAGATAAAAAGGGGCCATTACTTGGTGTAATGGTAAAATGTCGGGCTGATAAGCACGAGAAAATGGATTCTTCTTAGGACAGCCACTGTGCAAAAAAAAAAATGCCAAAGGTTTGGACTGTACTCAGTCTACCCTTCCCAAGACCCCAGATAGATGGGATTGCATAATGACCTTTTGGCCACATACACATGACAAAAGTGAAAAATAATAGGAAAAAAACAACAAGGTCTGGACATCAGACTTTCCCATAATTATCTACAATAGAACATAACAGCTAAGGAGACCTCAAAGTTCCATAGAAAAAAACTTGTGATATCAAATAAAGGATAGACATAATTATAGATTTAAATTCACACCATGTGAACAAGCTAATGGTGTAACTGTAGATAAACAACAATTTTGGGAAGCAAGATCATGGTGGTCCACATCTAATCAACAGCCAATCACACCTAAAGATCAAGTCAGCTATGTCTTTCACAAGATAACTCTAAAATGATGAAAAAGTAAAAATCGTAGAAAAAACATCCACTTATAGATTGACGATTTTCTTTGTCATTCTCTCATCCCTTTGCTTCCAATTGTTTTCTTTCTTTGAGTTGTAAACAAACCAAAAACATAACTAAATCCATTTCTCATGCTTGTGACAGAACAACACTCAAATGGTAGACTGATTTCATTTTGTGCTTATATTTACGCAAGGAACATAAATAAAAATGCAAAAGGCAATTGAACTCCTCATTGCTTAATAAAATTGCACAACAATTTTAAAGAACCCAATACCATCAAAAGCTAAAAACTATATTAAAAAACTGGCACACTGAGGAGAATTTGCACTATACTGAAAGGAAAATTAAAAATATGTACGAAAAGTTAATAAAATACCACTATATTTCCCATGGCCAAGGCTAGAAAATTCATGCTTTGTCAGCTGGAATTGGCTTTCATGTATTCCAGGGGCCTCAACTTCAATATTAACTGCCTGTTCAAGAAAACTGCTCATTAATCAACAAGAAAAGTACTTCCAAAGTATGACATTGATACATAAAGAATTAAAAAAAAAAAGACAACTTGTTTACAAGGATAAGTTTGGGAAGAGTGCAGATGCCAGTTCAGTGTATATTTATACTCTGGTTCAGTTGTGCTAGCGTTTGGTAAGACTACATTTATGTCTTGAAAATGACAGCAAACACAGATTTCAAGATATGTTTGCGTTCAAAATGAGAGCAAAGTTTTCATCCAAAATATGGATACAAACTTTGCACATAAAGTGGACCAATGTTAAAAGGGCATCTTTCAATTTTGGGATTCGTGTTTGTGCCTATCAGAACTAAAGATCGTTTGGTAAGAGTACAAAATTACCATTACAAAACTAAACCAACTTTGCATTTTTCATGAATATATATATATATATATATATATATATATATATATATGCACAATTGTACTGATCATTTGTGTATTTGCACTCTTCCCAAACAGAGCCCTAAGGAAAGGTACATTCAAAAACTAAGAAGCATGACAACCTTGCCAAAAACCCATATCTAGAAACTCAACAGCATCACAGAATAAAATATCAAATTTCTTAGAAAATTCAAGGATCAATAAAGAAAAAGAAGATCGATATGCCATATGTCAATGTTTGCATAGTACCAGGAGCTAAAGTTAGTGTATAGTTATTCAGACCAGCCTGACTTTTTTTCTCATTAAAATGACAATCCTGCAAGGCTACACAGGAGTTTTTGGAGTACATGAACAAGAATCATATTAAAACTATATGCTTACCATCATTACTGATTTAACTATGCAATCTGGCCAAAGAACACAACAATTTGGTTGCACGGGTTAAACAACATTCCTTGGCAATCTTGTAATCTCACATCCCTAAATGCATAGATAAGAAATAACTAAAACCAGGATGAACTGGAACAATAAAAACCTATTCAGGGACCTCACCTAACAGCTTAAGCTTTTAAGTTTAACAGTTCCTTGAGATGGCATCAGAGCTTGTTTAACCAAGTAGTCTAGTGTTTGGCCCTCATCGCCCCATTATAATTAGTTAAATTTCAACACAAGGGATGAATTGGTCTGTGCTTGTCCACGCTTTAAGCCCGATGGGCTTTCATGTGAGGGAGTGTCTCAGAGAATTAAAACCAATTTAGGGAGCTCACCTAACAGCTTAAGCTTTTAAGTTAAACAGTTCCTTGAAGAAATGTTTCTTTACTTAAAAAAATTAGGCTGTTAGGTGAGCTCCTTGAATTGGTTTTTGTTCTCTAACAGTAGCATAATGCTTTCCATAGAGAAATGTTTCATTTACTTGTTTTAATTTACAATGATTTAAAAGACGCACCTAGGCACAGTTTAAGGTACGCACCTCACCCAAGCCCAGGTGCAGGTCCTTTGAAAAGACATGTGCCTGGCGTGCCTTGAGCCTCAGTTCATGTGTGTGCCTTTTAAAAATCTTGCACTTTTTTGTTCTTTTGGAAGTACAACGGCCAGTTGCTTCACTTGCTCACCGAAACTCCAAGAAACCTATTTGCTAATGTTGTTCATGCATTCATTCATTCATCCTAATAAAAGATATTTTGAAAAGATAATCAAAATTACAAAATCATGTATTTGTAGGAATAAGGAATTTAAGACCCTAACATGGACATGTTTTGGCTTGCCTCAAGGGGCTTGGTACAAAGACAGCCCATAGAATTAGGAATGAAAGATGTTTAACATCAAATTAGCTATTTGAAATAATGCAAATGGAAAAGAAAGAAAATAAGACATTAAAAGTTTGACATGTTCGAATATATTTTGTATGCTATTTTTATTATATTTTTGCATTTTCAATTTGAATATGTTTTATTTTAATTTGACATAATAGGCTTTTTAAAATATTTATTTTAAAATTAAAGTTTATTTTTTAATTAATACTATTTTAATATTTTCTTAATTTATTTCGACCTTTTTACATTTTTGCATTTTAATTTGATTTTTTTTTAATTTTGCACCTTGCTTCAACAAAGCACGTGCCTCACCTTGCACCTTGTGCCTCAGGTGCAAAATGGCCTTTCTGCTTTTAAAATACTGAATAAACTCTTTAACTTTTTTAAGAGTTTCACAGGAAGAATCCATTACACAACTTTAAATAATCATTGCATATTCTATGGTAACAGCTGCAGTGAATTAATTGTTGATTTAAGTCATCATTCATTTTAGGTCAATGTCATACCTGCCTAGTCTTCAATCAGTTTAAATCGACACATTTTGAATTCCACAGCCCCTCTAGCATGATAATAGAGTGAAGAAAATCTAGTCAACTAAAAAAGGCTATCACACATTGCTGACTCAACATGCCATGGTCTAGAGAGTGGTGGGGACTCAACATAGAATAAATGCCCATCATGTTTAGCATTAAGTGGTTGCTCCCAAACTCAGACACAAAGCCTCACTCAAATGCTTGTCAGCCCATTATTCTACAATCTATAATGAAATGCCATTGTACCACTGTGCATCTCTGATGACTGAATTAATAAATTATAAACAGAAAGAAAAAAATGTCCAGATAAGAAGATCAAAATGGACACAGATGTAGACAATAGTATCCTACCTGATAAAATCTTATCAAGCTTTTACTTGTAGTTTTCAATTTTAATCTTCTTGGGTACTTCTAGCCTATCTGATGTAGTTTTCTAATACTTGTTTATCACCAACTAGGCAAAGCTTCCAACAATTATGAATTTTATGGTAAACATTAATTTAATGTACCCATTTATAATTTTCTTTTGACAAAACAAATACAGAAACAGTTGGGTCTTAAGTGAACAGTTGACTCTAAGTATGGTAGGATTATGAAAGCAACTTCTGTGCATGCTCAGAATATGTGTAGGGAAACAGAGTTAATCAACCGTCCAAAGATCCCAAATAGCTGGTATCAACATTAGGTAATGACCCTTTATACGAAATTAACCACATGGTCCACATCATAGCATTAATGTCCCTTAAGGCATGATGAAAAATCAGTCTCTAACCACTAAGCAATCACCATGTATTATTTTTCAACTTTCAATATATATGCATCTATTACATTTAACCTGACAGCTTTTTACAGCAATATAAAATGGAGAAAGGAAAAAACATAACAACTTCGGTGTTTCTTCATAGTTCCACAGAGAATAGAAGGAAAGGGAGAATTGAATAGAGAATCTAAACAGACATCTTTAACAAGACAGTCAACAGCATGTCAATATTGAGCTGCTCCTCCCTCAAAGTTATATGTAATGTACATCACAACTGTTAGGGTAATGTTCCTTAACAAAGCCATTTTTTATTATTATTGTCATCCAGCTATGTTGTATGGAGCAGAGCCTTGGGCAGTTCAGAAACAGCATGTCCAAAATCCAAAAAATGAGTATGGCAGAAATGCGAATGCATAGATGGCAAAATCCAAAAAACTGACTCTTGGATTCAATTTCTCTAAGCCTCATTATCATTATCTAAGCCTTGTTCCAAATATATGATTGGCAACATGAATTCTGTTTTTTCATTCTGGTCTGTTCAGTATCATATCCATCATTAAACTATGGATAACTAAATCATTTCTCTTTGCTTCCACCCAGATCCTTTCGGTCTGCCCCTAGCTCTTCTAGCCCCCTCAACTTGTAACTGATCAATTTCTATAAAAGCCTATATCCTTCAAATGTCTGGTAAAGCATTACACAACTCACCAAGATAAAACACCATGTCTGAGACCTCTACAAGATAGACTAATCAGCCTCAATCACTTGAGTGGTGACTCAAGGTCTATTACACAGTGAATCCACTGAGAATCAAAGTTACAGTGATTTTTCCTAGACCAGATCTATAGTCATCAACCAGACAGAGAGAAAGAGAGAGAGAGAGAGAGAGAGAGAGAGAGAGAGAGAGAGGGATCTGAAAATTATACTGCAACCAATGAGTTGTTTAATCAATGAGATAACTCTTGACCAATACCCATGTAGCTTGGGTTCTTATGAAGTGTCTCAGGGTGGAAGGTTTCTCAACAAGTAATTTACCACCAACTCTTGAGGGAATATTTATCTGAGATTTATACAACACTGAGGCACAAAAAATCCATACCTCATGGATTTGTAAAGGATTTGTAAGGTTTACTAAATTATATTTATAAATAAATTATACTTTGGAATTGATTTCTTTGCTGAAAACTTTTTTATGTCCTAATGTAACACACGGACAAAAAGATACTAGCAAGAATGGACCTTTGTGTTAAATTCAAGGATTAAAATGTCAATACGACACACCCGTATATTGGTCTATCCAGATACACTTGGATACACCGATACAAAACTTTTTAAAATTTTAAAATTTAAAAGTGGGAGTGAGATCCTCTAATACCTATTAAAAAAACTAAAAAAATAATTAAAAACACCTATGTGAGCACACTGATACCCACTTGACAGTATAAGGTGTATCGATATTTTAATCCTTGAATAAATTCCAAACTTTTGGAGTTCAATTGCAATTCCAATAACGGACACAATTGCATCTAAGGAGAGTAAAATACAAATATGTTCAGTGCAAATACAAGGTTTGGAAATACAAATATAGACCATATACAAAGTTTTCACACTGAACATATTTGTATTTACACTTTTCCCAAACGGAATCTAAATAAAATTAATGCTACTCCCGTCCATAAAACATCAAATAATAATATATGCCAACATAAGTTTCATTTACAAAGAATACAAGGGAAAATTCCAATAACAATAATAAGAAAAAAGAAAAAGAAATACCTCCAACTGCCTTAAAGTGTCAAGCAAGACAGATCGTTCTTCACAAAGAACTTTGAATTGTACTTGTAACTCTGAAAATTCTGAGAGCATTATCTTCTCACAATCCTGGATAAGTGTCTCGTTGCTTCCCTCTTCAAGTAAGCGGCATCTAAGCTTTTCAGTCGATATAGATAAATCATTTGGTATAACGGAAAGCTTCTCATTTAATGGTCTTAGGGAAAAAAAGCTTCTGGTAGAGATTAATGCATTAATCCAAGCAACACGATCTTTCTTTGAATCAGTTCTCAGATAAAGTGTCTTTGTAGCAGTAAATATGTAGAATCGTTTATCATCAGACTTGCTCTCACGAAATGATGAAATCTGGGATAAATAAAAATTGTTTAGCTAAATAATTTACAAACCTCTGTACAAACTAACAAATGAAGTACACAATTTCATATGATAGGCTTCCAAAGAGTGAGGTAAACCACACTATAGGTGCAGCCAAAAAGTAATTAAAATACCACCAGAACCTATAAAAAAGCATTGACATGTATGTGTGTGTTTAAAATATGTATTGCAATGAATTGTCACCAAGGTTATGAGCTGGTGAGCTGCCAGAATGGGAACAACCATTGGAAAGGAAGCAATCAAGTGGGGTTCATCATGATTAATACTATGAGCTTGCAGAACCCTGTAGGCCCTTCAAAATGGTAACAATCATGTATTTTAAGAAGAATCTGATTTGGGAATCCCAAGGCAAAAAAATGAATAAACAGAAATATATAACTCCAATTGACATTACAAAAGGGAATAGCATTTTGGCTCCAAAAAGACATTTAGAGTAGTAACCATTTCAACCCAAAAAAAAAATAAGATTCAAGGAAAAAAAACTACCAATTCTGCAAAACAACCACCAATTCCAGCAAGTAACACCTAGTAACTTGCAGAAGATGTTCCTAGCTGATGCTAGAGAATAGGTGTTATGAGAATAGTACCCATCCAATGAGATGCTACAACTTCAATCTTTTCAAATTTATTATGTAGATTTTGATGTAATTTAATATATGTTTATGACTGTATTTCCTAGGGAAGCTTTTAATATTATAATAAAATAAATTGTCATTTAAAGATTTCATGCATCTAGAAAGGCTACCGAATTTAAAAACATTATAGTAAAATCAATACTGCAACTTAATAAGCAAAGGTTTAAGATTAAAGCACTGACAATGCAAGCTTACAAGCTTTAAGTTATACACTTCTAACTCCAAGTTAACCAAGATCCAAAGATGATTAGACTCCTTCCTTTTCTCACAAAGAAATCATTGGATAACTACTTCTCAAACAAAGCCTCAGACCAGAGGGCTTCTCTTGCAAACAAGTGATTACCTATCTTCTCAATAGCATCCAAAGAGTGGTGCTTTCCACTCCCAGGAAAAAGCCGGAGTAGTTAACGCCATTCTCAAGAAAAAATACTCTCTTTAAAAGCATGGCTATCTATCCAAAAAGAAAAAACCACCCACTTCAAATGATATGGGACATGCTAACCTTTTTAATTCAGCTTCCTAATTCAAATAACAGACTCGTTCTTTTTAATGAAATGGGTCATTATTTACAAATAAAACCTGATTGAATCTCTTAAATCAAATAAAAAATTGATCTATCAAAAAAGCCCTTTAATTTATCAAAAAGGATCCTTTAGCAAAAAGGATTAAAAAAATCAAATAAAAATCTAACCTCAACTTACAACATAGATAATGGGTGTCAAACAAAATAGGTCAAATTACTTGTCCCATACCAAGTATGGGATCATTATCTAGCAATATCATAAAGAGAACCATTGTTGAAAATATATGACCTAAAATGTTCCCAATTAAGCTGAACAAAGAATATTTCTGAAATTCCAAATGATATAGACCAATATCTACCTTTCTTAGCATCAAAAGGGAATTGAGTGATCCTTCAAAGAGATCAAATAAGCTCTTGTTCTGATGCTTCTCCTTTTGACAACTCTATAAGAAATATTGTTTGCTCAATGGCTCAGATATTATGTCCTAAATTTAAATATTTAATACTTGTTTCTTTATTATGCTTCAGATTTCTACATAAATGGAGGAGGACATGCAGCAATACAAACACGTGGAGCAAAGCAAAATATAATTGTATTATCATAACCATCTAATCAAGAGGTCTTCCCCTTAACATTAATGGATAATGCTATTTTAGCATCACCCTATCTTAACATCCCAGAAATTTCTTTTATTTTCGCATTCAACTCAACTATTTTATCTTTCATGTAAACAAAATTGAATTCCATTTTACTAGAGGGCCATCAGTATTAATACCATTTGATGGATCATCAGTTAAAATGTAAGACTTCTTTGTTGGACAACCCAACATAGATTTATACAATACATGACAAATAGCAGTTGATCAGGTGATTCACACAACTTCTCTTGTCTATCCTTTGCCCTGTCATTTGCCAGTCCATGACATAAGCTTTGCTATGCTTTCTCGTTATTTCCTTGCCATCTCCTCATATGGCACATTAGTGCCAATACATGCAATAGTTATCAATTGAATATGGTATTTGAAAAGTACCAAAAGAAAATAAAAATTGGAGACTGTAACATTGTTGACATAAATTAATTAGTTTGTTGGCAACACATAAATGACAACCAAATGTCAAGCTACTGAGTTATGGGAAATCACAGAATGGCATAAGAAACTCAATGACACGAACTCTCTATTAATTACTCCTTCAGTATCATAAACTTTCTACAACATAACCATCATCGGAATAGCACAAAAAAGGGACGATTTCATTCACCCAAACCAACGCTAAAATTGGAACATACTAACAAATATTAAAATAATGTAGTAATTTCTAAAGATAATCTCCTGACAAGGAATTGATAAAATTTAAAACTGGAGTTTTCAGAGCAGAATAAATCCGAGTTATCAATCACACACCATAACTTGAACCAACAGATAAGCCACAATAAATGCAACCCTCTTAAAAAATATATGCTATTTAGCATCAGGTTAACTCCAAACCAGGAACCTGAAGGTTAATTAAAATAATTGTGCATATTCGAAATTCCGCATTTTTACACGCAGCAATTCAAGCAGGAAGAACCTAAGAGAAAGTCCATGGACCTCCACTCCGATCCAAGGAAAGAAAACAAAACAGTGGTCCTTTATGTGCAATTGAAGGGAAAAAAAAAAGAAAAAAAAACAAATAATTAAAGAAAGAACGAACAGAGTACAGATCAAAGGAGATGCAAGAACAGACTGGTCCACCTTCAACGTTAAGGAGTAGAAAATGAAGGATAGAAGAAAGCAAAAGTAGCAAACAAGATGAAATAGATAATGGAACAAAAACTCGACATATACCTTTCAAACGAAACAACAAAACTAAAAGCTAGTGCAATATTTCAATATCCTTCCTGTTGAAACTCCTGTAAGCCTCCAACCCCGCCAAAATGGGTGAACAACCCAACTATGCCAATTCATACAACCAGCAAAGAGGTAGGAACCCAAGAACAGTAACAAAAACAACGCGAGCACTCAACAAGAGTACAGCAAGACCAAAAAAGACGAAATTAAGCTCGCTTCGATCCTACAGAGATTAGCTCCACCACTCGTTAATCATGATATATTGTTTTATTCCTTTTCGGGCTTTCTCTATTTTCTAATCTAATTGAAGAAGGAGAGAACCTGACCGTCAAAATCCTGGGGAGGTCCCGCAATAAAAAAAAAAAAAAATTAAAAAAAATGAAAAAGAAAAACTGAAGTTGACGGGGAGAGCGACGAGCACAGATGGGAGAGAAAGAGCAAGCGCGTTGGAAAAGGTCGCAAGTTACAGCTAGGAAGAAAGGCAGAAAATTTTAGCCTAAAGCTATCTAAATTGATCGAGCAATGATGTGACATGCAGAAGAGCCCTAGGCCTACTTCATAGCCTATCGTGGCCACTAAAGCGCACCTGCTGATGTGACCCACTTACAGCTTAACAAGCAGTGAAACTGTAAACAACGGGATAGAAAAGTAAATTTTCGAACTGAAAACGAGAGATTAAAAACAATCGAGGGAAAAGAAAAAGAGAGACTATTATGGCGTGGTAGTGGGAGGGAACAGAAATATTTTTCGGTACGACCGAAAAAAATTACTGTGTTTTTCCTTGTATGCAGGCAGGTAGCTGGTCGCGGAAGAATGTGAGAATCGATGAAGGAACCAATGGTTTATAGTGTTACGCCCCAGTTATGCAAGCTTTTGTGGCAGGTCTATCAGAAAAAGAAATTACAACAGAGAAACGACGCAATTCATAAGCCGTATATAAATTCTTATGAATCCAGGAATTGCTGAATACTGAAAATGGCAACATTTTTTTCTTAGTTGTAGTGGATACTGGATAGAATAGGTAGGTAGAGGCTTTTCTCGATTGTCGCCAAGTAACTCAGCACCAGAGTTTCTCCGATTTTCCAATACTTACAGCATCAGAGTTTCTCCGATTTTCCAATACTTACAGAGTGATCGTTCGTTAAACGCTCTCTCTCTCTCAGAGTCTTTCCCAGAGAGTACCTTGAGATGAACGACGCCAGTTGTTTTTTGTTGCTTTTTCCTCCCTACGCTGTCAAGGCGCGAAAGTCGACTGCAAGAAACATCTCCAATCACTCGAACGTCATTAGTCGTCGACAACATATTGACACTCTCCGATCGTCGAATCTTGGAGTAAGAAAGGACGCCGTTCTTCAAGCAAAACCATCGAGATCTCCACCCCTTGCCGTAATTCGTCCATTTATAAAGAACACCAGCGACATTGACGTCAGATCCCGTCTCCATTCCCATATTGGTGTCAGATCCACTGCCGGTGGCCGTCGAACCGACGGGAAAGCCGTTTCTCGTCGCTGAAACCTCTGGCGATCGATCTCTGATCCCAGGGCTCTCCAGCGAGATGCAACACAAAGGATGCATTTCCTTTACTCGCATTTCGATCTGTACATTGAAATTCAACTATCAAGTCTTCTCTTCACAATGCAGAAAATGAGAAAACAAATAAGTTTAGAAATCGAAACAGAAATTTCGGATTCTCGGTAGAAGACGATTTAGCTGAGAAAGCTTTTGAAAGAACCCTGGAGTTCTGAAACCAAGCAGAACGCAGTGAAAGAGAGAGGGAGGGAGAATTGATGAATTTGAAGAATTAATAAACAAGAAAAAAGAGTTGATTTATATAATAATACATACATACGTGATACATACTAAGTATACGACAGCGGCTAGGACTGAGAGGGGGTGGAGGTGGCTACTGGCTAACCCGTTGGCAGTGTCGTAATTAAATTGCCAAACATGGGAAGATTCGTAGTCAGAGGCTCTCCCTCCGTCAAGGCCTACAGAAAGGAGTAGAAAATCGGTTTAAATAAACAATCGAAATGAGTCCACCCACCAGGCCACCACCCCCAACCCCACCCCTATTGGCTTTAACACTCTCCACTTTCAGTTGTCTGAAAGAGAGAAGTGAGTACCTACCTGAGTGCGAGTGGAGGTCCGGTTCACTAGTTCCGTTCGATAATTGATAGTTGATACTTGATACTGAAAAATAGGGGTTCAACATCTCGGCAATTTCTCGTTTCATTATCCGAGGATCATTTATTCGTTTTAGCTTTTTTCAGGTCTTTATTTCGTCCACTGCGGGAGTCAAATTGCGGTATTTACGACATTTAAATGGCATTTACTGCGTAATCATGAATTTGTCCCCCCTCCCCCTCTCTGCTCTCACTGCTCTGTGCTTGTCCTCTATGACGAAATTGCCCTTCAATTTATTAACGATATCTACAATTTATTTATTATAAGGCAAAGATAATGACCTTTCCTAGAGAAAAGCAGGTTTCCGTGGGTATTGTGAGAGAGAGAAAGAGATTGAAATCTGCGAATCGCCGGAGCCCGGAGAAGAAGCTTTAGCCGGTGGCGGTGATTGTCTTCTGTATCTTCGTCTCCGAACCCATACGAGGTGGGAGCTTGGTGCTCGTACGGTACTTTTCTTTATACGTGTCAGGGATCAACAGTTCACCATATATGTTGCAACCCACTCCCCACGCTTTTCTGATGTTTCAAATTTTGTTTTATTTTTAATTTTTAAGAGGAATAGGAAATACATGCTGGTGCTGCTGGAGGGCGAGCTCGGATCATTCCCATAGCGTATCACAGTCTTCGTTTCTCCGATTACAAGTGTTTCGTTTCATCTGTTTTCTTTTTTAATATAAGAAATAAAAAATAATATTTGGTAGACATAAAAGTTATGGTGATTTAACTTATTATTATTATAATATACACATAATGACAACTGTAGAAAAAATCATCTTCTTCAAATTTGAATGTGCCACGTCACTAAGGTGATTTAAAGAATTGTCAATTTAACAATTCAAGAAGTCTCTCCATTCTTAAATCTTCGAGTTAATTTTTGTAAAAATATTTTTTTTTGAAAAATACATTGAGGGTATTGGGTTCCGTTTATGTTTATTCGGTAAATGTTTATGGGTGGTGCCATATAGGCACCATATCAGCATTTTCTCTCTTTTGTTCTTTTTTATATATCAAAAATGTAAAAAGTGAACTTTGGTTTTCGTTCATGTTAACCATTTATAGAAGTTATTTTTTGAATCTTTCACAAACGGCAGACGTTTATTCACTGTTATGCTGAAGTGGTGCCTAGTGACGCTTAATGGCATGCAATTATTGCATTTCTCGGTTTTACTAGCAAATAAAGTATAAATGTTTATTCAATCAACATAAATGGAACCAAACACATACATTGTCAAATGCAATTTTCTCCCCTAGCTTGCAAAAACGTTTAATTGTTGATGTGGTAAGCAAAAATGGAACACTTGTGAAATGTTTTGATACCAAACACCTACTAAGGTAGTGTTTCGCATCGGTGTCGTTTTTTGAGAAAATGGTGCTAGAAGCAACACCCACTTGTTTGGTACCATTTTCTTAGAAAAAACGTTGCTCAAGACCATACCTTGAAAATCGGGAAAGTGTGGTTTGGAGCAACACCAAATTTGATATTTTATGGGAAAATGGTGTGTTGCTGCCAACGATGCAATGACATGGCATCAATGTGGCATCATCTTGGATGTTGGATAATAAGATCAATGTTGAAAATGTTGCTGCCAACACTACTACCAAACAAAACTACTGCTATTTTCTCAAAAAACGCTTATGTGACAGTATCGGTTCCAAACAAAAAATAAGCATCATTTTCTAAGAAAGCATGCTTACAACTCCACATGCCCAACACTATTTTTCTCAGAAAATGGTGCGATATTCCGAGGACTGATGCCAAACACCTACTAAGTGTTTAGCACAATTCACAATTTTGAAAAATGCCACTCAAGAAAGTACAAATTTTCAACCTTTTATTGGTATAATATTTATAATATAATAGAGATCATATTCAACCCTCACAAAACGATGCTCACATTGTACTCACAACAACTTATAGTTGTGCATTGGGAATATCTCCCCATGAATAAAAGAATGCAAGTACAGAGGTATTCCCAATACACAGTTGCAAGTGGGACTATTGCTACCATATAAGCATTTTTCACCATAACATCAGGAGAAGAAAATTAAGAAAAAAGACATTATTGCAGACCATACCTTCCCCAATTTTCAATAAGTGGTCTAGAAAAGCGTTTTTTTTAATGCCCAATCAAATGGTAAGCATTTCTTAACCTCCTATTTTGATTTTTGTATTTTTTTTTTGATAAAATACGTTTATATCATAGAAGGTACTTCACACCGACCTCGCAAACACATCCCATTGTGTATTGGAGACATCTGCCATGAACAATAACACATAAGTACGGGGTATATTCCCAATAAATACCGAGATGTGCTTGTAAGGTCGATGTGAGGAGTAGATCCAAACTCTATAAAAAGAATTGTCAACAAAGAGGCCCATGATCTAAGTTTGGATCACCTGCCAACAAAATACGTTTCAACGCTATACCAACATCATCTCACACTACACATCTCATGTATGATGGGTCCCACTTTTATGGTGGGCCACAGTTGATGTGATGCCATTTTTTCAAAAATTGGCATGGGTTCCAACTTCCAAATACCTCCATAGACAAACGATATCACACGAGTTGATTCCCAACATTCTACATGTGGCAGATGAATAGGACAGTTTACGCACATTTGAGTCCGGATCGGGAATATCTCCTATACTTGTATTTATTATTAATGAAAAAATATTATCAATGCAGGGTGGGATGTGACCATGAAACTTGTTTAGGAGAAATATTCTCAAATCTCAATACATGTCTATGAGTTTTTTTTTTCATTAACTGTCTTTATGGTATTTACGCATCCACTTTTCTATCAAATTTCCATTTAGACCAGCCCGAACTGGAGCAGAAGTTATAATGTATAGTGTATAGAGTTTGGACTGGAATACCCTTTTGCGGTTTATAGTCTCTCCGAAGCCCACTGCTGAGTGGTGACCAAATGGCGTGAAGCTTGAGAAAGTTCGAAAACAAATTTCAACAGATGAATAAAGAGAGTGACTGGAAAGTGAATTAAAGCAAACAATAAAGATTCTCAGCTAACCAACAAAAAAATGTACGGTCTATGGTGCCTTGTAGAGGATGTCAATAGCGTAAAGAAAAGCCTTCTCATCTTCCCGCTTGCTTCTTGGATTTGTTGGTATTAGTTGGATGCTGGTGCGTCAGTTGGGACTTTAGAGCTCTTCTCTTACATCTCATGTTTTTTGTGTGAAGTCTCTGTTCGAACGCGTAAATTAGATTATTAGATAATAAGGACTCATTCATTTAAGTGAATTGGATTTTCCATTCTTTCATTTAAGTGACTGAATAATGTTATTTTAATGGAAAAAACAATTATCTTTGTTATTTTGCTTAATTTGAAGAATATGGTGTAGTTGAAACCACACCATATTTTTGTGAAGCTGAGGTGTCATTGCATAAGCAATGTGGATGCTTTTATTAAATAAAATCTTTTATAAAGTAGCTCGAGAATTTATTATAAGACTTTGTATGAATAATTCCATCTATTGATACGTGAATTGGTCCATAAAATATAAATGTAGGATAAATTGTGAGATGATCCAATTCAATCTATGATATAATGTAGAGCAAATTGAATTATATTTCGAAGAGTGTTTTCAACCCACATTGACCTGAATGGTTAAACCAGTTGAATCGTTACTCGATCATGATTTTAGGTCTAATTCTACTAAAACATGAGAATTTGTAAAAAACTATTGATCTCGTAAAACATTGTTTGGCTTGATGGTTGGGCCACTGACCCATTTGACCAGGTGATCATGTCACGAGTTGCACACTAAATGTTTTGTAAACTTCCGGACCCCATAACTTTATGCTTTGATGTCCAATTGGGTGATTTTTTTTTGGGTACTTTGGAGAGATCTATGCATCTTAAGGTGTCATAGATTTATGCATCCCAAGGTGCATTGCCTCACTATTTTTCATGAAAAAAAACCTTTTTTAACTTCAAATTGCAATTTTTATTTGTTTTATAAATAAAAATGAAAGTTAAAAATAAAATAATAGAGAGAGAGAGAGTGAGTGATGATGTGGTAGTATCTTACCAATTCCACTTGGATGGTTAAACCGGTGACTTGCGACCCCGAGGCAAAAACAATTCAACCTATGGGATTGATTTCAAATGAACAATTTTTTTCGTTGTAGCATGAATCATATAATTGATTTATAATATTTTCAAATATCACACTACCAAACACCCCCTTGTATATAATAGTTATATACATGCATAAATGTGATTGTTTTAGAGACAAAATAAATGTGATGAGGGCTAATTTTGTCCTCCAATGATATGACAACACGTGACATTGCAGAACAATAGAATGACACATCAGCACCACATAAGTAGATCCCAGGAGCACTTCAGATACTTTACAACCGCATCAGCGACTTCGGCACCACCCGGTAGGCCAAACTGCGAACAGCTAGGCAAGACCTCAGGTCGGTATAAGAAGCAACCTACTTCCACCGATCTAACATGTTTCCGGTTAGCGACCTACTTGATGTGCCGAGCGACCTCGCCCTTAAGCGGGTTATTGCCTCTGAATTCCCCAGGATCATGACATCACATAGGAAGAGCTGGTTATCACTTCGCCCGCTTCAGGCGGGATTGGAACATTACTTGCTTACATGAAGTCCACTTCTAGGTGTGAAACCACATCCGAATCAGACGGATCGGAGATTCCGGATGCATATCGTGAGGCTCACGACAACTCGCCTATATAAGGGCCTCACCTCCAACCTCATAAGGTATGCGTGATTTAGCACTCAAGCTCTCTAGCTCTCTCTTGCTTT